ATAGATGCATCAAAATAGTAATTTCGGTCATCAAAGCACATAGAAGTATAGGTCCGTCGCTTCGCTCCGGCCAATAACCGAACCTTCAATTTTGGAAGGTTTACGTAACAAATTGACAACTGAATTAGTCAATTAACTTTATTTGAATATTTTTAATAGCTTTATAAATTTTAAAATTTTGTTATTTGTTTTTTAAAGTTTTTTTCATAAAAATGGCAACACCAACTTCAACACCATCTTTCGTGTCTCAAGAACTCACAAACATACTTTCAGAATATGAATATGGTGTTAAACCTAATTCTATAAAAATCTCTCAAGCAACCAAATCGACGGGAGAGAATTCAAAATTTCAACTTTGTTTGCTTGAAAACATTCAATTAACTATCAGCGTCACAGATATTGGGTTTATTGTACGTGCGTATAATGTAACTACGTTTTATTAAAACGTTCCACTAAAACTTTCGCACCCTATACTTTCAAATAGTACTCCGCAAAATCAAATCAATGATCAAATTTGATTCAAATTCAAAATTTGATTTGATTTTGCGTAGTACTATTTTCAAAACACTATGCGCTCCCGGAATTCCTTTACTTATGCTATATAGATTACGGACGCGAGCCCATATCCTACTGCTAATGAGGTCAACAATATAGATTTAGAAACTGTCAGCAAATGGATTAATCACCCTTTTGAAACGATGGAAGCATTATTGTTAACCACGAGTCCTAAATTCGGTGAAATTTTTCATCAAACTTTGTTTAATAAATTATTAGATTTACAATCTCACCAACAAGATGTTGAAGAATAAAGCACAATATAATAGTATAATGTAATCCATTCTTGACCACTTCATTTTGTTTGCTATGGTAATATGGTTTAAATTAATCTTAATGTTCTATATTTATTTTATTAATGTAGAATGCTACTTTATTTTTAAACAAAAAAATGTCATGTTTCAACTAGTCCCATCTTCGTTTCAATCCTTGCAAGAGTATATGTATTTATTTAGAATTTTGAGATTTTTGATCCTGTTTCGGTAACTTTCCTGGAGCGGTAGGCCTTGGTTTATTACGAAAATAGGGGTGAAGTAGAGCCTGAAAAAATATCAATATATTGGATTCATTGTTGCTTTAAAAAA